AGTGAAGCTCATAGTTTCATTTAAATTAAAATAGTTTCCTCCTTTTACTTCCTCTCAAGTTTCCTTCTACCTTCCTCTGTATGAACAACTTTAACCGTTTTTACATAGAGGCCCCAAAACTATGCAAATACGATAGGCAGACCACAGAAGCATATCAAATATAAACATCTTGGTTTCAAAGTACACTAAAGCATATGATTCAAGACAGAAATCATATCAGGTCTGAGAGAACTACTACATATCAGGAACAAAAAAAAAAAAAAAAACCCACCAAAACTACACTTCAGTTTTATACAAGTGCCTAGTAATTTAATTGCTCTGTGTCTAACACCTGGTCTTATTTTTAATTTTGGGGGGTACTTCGAACTGAACTTAGGGGCACTCAACCACCAAGCCACACCCCAAGCCCAGAGTCAGGGTTTCACTCAGTGGCTTAGTGTCTTAGTGTCTTACTTTTGGCTGAGGCTGGCTTTGAACTTGAGATCCTCCTGCCTTAGCCTCCAGAGCTGGGATTACAGGTGTATGCTATGCACCCAGCAACACCTGATCTTCATGTCCCTGCCAACCTTGGTACTTTCACAATTCTGGGAAGTCAGATGCAGATGTGATTGTAATCAATTATATTAACCCTCAGCCAGTGAGGTGCACATGCCTGTAATTGTAGTGACTCAAGAGGCTGAAGCAGAAGGATCAAAAGTTTGAGGCCGGTCTGGGCAATTTAGCAGGACCCTGTATCAAAATAAAAAGGCTGGAACTGTGGCCCAGTGGTAGAGGACCCTTGGGTTCAATCTGGTACCACAAAAAAATAAATAAATAAATAAAACAAAGAAAAGAAAAAAAAAGAAAAATCAGAACACAAAATTCAATTATTGGGCTGGGGCTAGGACTCAGAGGTAGGGCACTTGCCTAGCATGTGTGAGGCACTGGGTTCGATTCTCAACACCACATAAAAATAAAATAAAGGTCTATCAACAACTAAAATTTTTTAATTAATTAAATATGTGAAAGATAACAAAGAGGCTTAAGAGTCAGAAGCTTGAGCCGGGGTTGTAGTTCAGTGGTAGTGTGCTTGCCTAGCATGCGTGAGGCACTGAGTTCGATCCCGGGCACCACATAAAAATAAAAATAAAAAAGGGCCAGAAGCGAGCAATCTATCTAAGGAAGACAATCTGACAGTTATAAGTAGTTATCTGCTAGGGAAATACCAAGGGTGGGGTGAAGATGAAATAGTAAGTCTTTACTCTGTCTAAACATTCTCCCCATCCATCTTAGTATGTTGGCTCTGATTCCAATTTTACTTAGATGGTCTTGTTAGCTTCTCAAATGTTCTGATGCAAGGAATCAGATGTCACATATAGCATAAATTACTCAGGCTGCTGGAAAATAATATTCCTCAGAACATTAAAAGGTATTCCTATTGGAGGCATTATGGTTTCAAATCCTGGCAACTGCTTATTTGACTTCTTATGCTTCAGTTTCCTCATTAAATAATGATATGATGATGATGATGATGATGATGATAATGCTTACTTCAAGTATTATTATATGGATTGAGTTAATTTATGCAAAGCATTTAGAACAATGGCTAGCATTGGGGGGTATAGCTCAGTGGCAGAACATATGCTTAGCATGCAGGAGCCCTGGGTTCAATTCCCAGTACCAAAACCAAACAAAACAATGCCTAGCACAAAGTGCTTAATAAAGCTACTATAATCTTTCAATACAATTATTAAACATCTCAGGGACAGTGGGTATAACTCAATGGTAGAGCAAATACTTAGTATATTCAAGGTCTCTAAATTCAATCCTCAGCACTGAAAAAAATTATTTAATATCTCCCAATTTTGATTTGTGTGAATCAAAATCCAAGTATGATCAACTCTAAAAATACTGTGATTTTGGATTATCAAATGCCACAGGGGCCTGGGGATATAGCTCAGTTGGTAGAGTGTTTGCCTCAAAGCACAAGGCCCTGGGTTCAAACCCCAGCACCATAAAAAAAAAAAAAGAAAAAGAAATGCCACAGTGCAAGACAGGGGTGTGTGTGTGTGTGTGTGTGTGTGTGTGTGTGCGCGCGCGCGCGAGTGAGGGTGCTTGCTCCCTCACATACATGTAGCTGGCAGAATGGATTAAAAATAAAATAGAAACTTATTGGTACAATACACAAATCCTTCCAGTCTATTTTATTTTATAAGCACAAGAGATCATCTAAAGTAATCTCACTTATCAACATATTGTTAAAATAAAACTTATAAACCTAAGTTTTAGAACTCACAAATACCAATAAGATGAAGGAATTCCAGAGAAATATAGTGACCAGTGATTTCAATATTTTAATAGCAATACAACCTAAACTGAAACCAAAATGTCAGTGAATTTAAATGAGTGCAAACAGAGGCCACTTCCATTCTGACTCCTAAAAAGGCATAGATAGGACTGCAACTCCATGGCAGAGCATTTGCTAGCATAGAGGAGGGCCTGAGTTCAACCCCCAACATTGCTAAATAAATAAATAAAGGCACAGTGCATGCTGTTTCCTGGCTCCATAATCCACTTCCTCCAATTGTTGAAGGCACAGGATCTATCAGTTTCAGACAGCCCTCCACCATAACAAAATCCTGTCTCTGTCATTTGCCCCTCTAAATATGGTACTAGAATAAGAAGTTCAGCACCACTGGAAGCAAACAACATATTATAAATGCTAACATATTATAAATGCATATGCAGATCTTGCCAAAAAGTAGGTATACAGAATGTGATATAAAAACAAAACAAAAGGCCTTAATTTGGAGAGAGAAGGCAGCTGATTTCACAAAAACATCCAAGAGTAAACATGTTCTTCTTCCCCTCTGCCATTCCAATTTGCTTTCATCTGATGAAACCAGATAAATGTGCTAGAATTGGGTAACTATAATAAATATTATCATCACAGGGCTCACAGATTTTTCAAGTCTATTGACCTTAGTCCAATCTTCATGTTACTTTAAAAGTTGGTAGCTTATACACTGACTAGTTATATATTTATTATAATGTGTATTAGAAAAAAGTATAAAATACATCAAAACCATGATTTCAAGAGATTCAATTTAGAAGAGGAAAATTTTTTAAAAATTTGTATTTGTTTTTTATTTTTTTGTACTGGGGATTGAATTCAGAGGCGTTTTATCACTGAGTTAAGTCCTCAACCCTTTTAATTTTTTTTTTTTTTTTTTTTTGCTGACAAGGTCTGACTAAGTTGCTTAGCGCCTTGCTAAGTTGCTAAGGCTTGCCTAGACCTTGCAATCCTCCTGCCTCAGCCTCCCAAGTGATGTGCCACTGACCAGGGAAGGTAATGTTTTTTAAAAAGTCCATTTAAAGTATTAAGTAAAATTTGGGGTGGGGGTGTGGCTCAGTATTGGAGTGCACACTTGTCATGGATTCAATCCCCAACACCAAACAATGATGACAAAATATAAATAAATAATAATAAATAAAATGGCAAAAATTATAAAGGTAATAATTTATTAGTGAAGACCCAATAGTTGTGCCATAAACACGGGGCACAAAGGGTCTGTTTTTGTTTCTATGCTTTCTTCCTGGTTCTAGGTTGTGTTCCAAATGATGAGAAAAGATATGACCTTTTGTTAAGTAAACTTGTATACTGTACTTTCATTCAGTTAAAGAAACAAATACCAAAATGCCTATAGAAATTCTACTGTTTTTAGGAGAGTGTAATACTGTTAGGAAAATAATGGCTCAATGAATCATTCCTATTCAGAAACAATGATTTTCTAAGGCATATCCACACACTTCAAAGCACCTAAAGGAAAAAAAAAAAAAAAAAAACCCTAGCAAAACTGATAACTGTTTAAGCTGCAAGTTGTTATATGATCATTTAACTTATTTCCACATGATCTGTCACAGGAGCATGATAACATGAAAAGGTTTTTTTTCCCATCTGCTAATATCTGCTAATAAGAATGTGTTTTCAATATCTCTGGCCAAAAGAACGAATGACAAAGTAATCATCAGATGCCTTAGGCATCAACTTAGCTGTTGGCAGAAATATTACTTTTTTATTTTATTATAAAATACATTCAGATTAGACCTCAAAGTATTCTAGCTAATTATGTCTCATGAGTTTCAAGTGTGGTATTTCCCAGGATAAGCAAGAACGGAGGAAAAAAGAAAATGGGAAAAACCCATTTTTTATCTGGCCATGTCTGCACTTTTAGTATTTTATACCTAAGAACCAGTCTTAAAGGCAGTTGAACAGGTGGAGTAAGATCTCTCAATTCTTAAAATGTTTGTTATTAAGAAGCTACGCTATTCACAAAACTGAGGGAACGCTGTTAGAAAGCTACCAGTATCCAAACTCCCCTCTCCAGCCACGGTTTCCCATCTTGGCAGATGAAAAACAGCAAAAGGTAAAATGACTCTCCCTTCTCGTCCACTTTTCCCAACTTTGATATCTTTCGGTTTCCTCAATCATCAGCTGCCTTTCCTCATATTGTAATGACTAATGATTAAAGAGGAAACAAAGGACGGGGTGAAACTGCATTTTACAGTAGTTTCTAACCCCCTACTACCTTCTTTCACTGATCCTGCGGAAAAACCGCAAGATAAGGACGAACTCTACTCGACCGGCAAGGGCTATCCAAAGCCATGAACCTCGGAGTCCTTCAAACAGTTATCTTATAACTACTTGACTACAGTGGTCACCACGTAGTCTATTAATCCCGACCACATCAACACGGTGAGGGACTGAGAGTTGATCTGTGTAGTTTCGAAGACGAATACAAGGATCAGGTCATCCTTCCTCCGCTGGCCCCTCGAACTTCTTTTCTTGTGCCTCGCCTCATTCCGGGCCCAATCGGCCAAGCCTGGGCCGGAGGGCCCCCTCCTCCCCTTAAGTCCGACCCCACTAACTTTCCAACCGTCACGATATTCTCTTTATCTTCAAGATATGATGCCAACCTTCCTCCCGGCTAGCTACCTCAGCTCCGTTCCTGGAGACTCACCAAGCAGTTCCGGGCCACTCCTCTCCGGCCAAGGCAGCTCGGACACCACCAGACCGGACCAGGAGCAGCGCCCTTGTCGCGCCTGCGTGCCCCCAAGCCACGCGCCTGCGCACTTCTCGGGCTCTCTGACCGCAGACACACCCTACAGCTAGAGCCAATCACTGTGCGGTAGGTTTAAATCTCCGTGCCACGCAGGCTGAGAGCTGGGGAAATTCACCCGTTAACCGGATAGATTCCCGTCTCGCCCGCAGGTGGGAGGTGTTCGTGCAACATTTGCCAAAAGCATCCGTGTGCCAGAGACTGCGGGATGAACACTGAGGGGGAAAAAAAGTGGCTAGAATGCCTTTGATCTGTGGAGACTGGGAGATACATAGGTTAACAAATTATAGTGGCTACAGTACGATGCATGACACATATAAAATCTGAGGCGCCTTTGACTTACAATAAACAAAACATTTTATTCTTAGGGGTGTCTAAAAGGGTTACCGGAGGAAGTGACCTTGCGAGTCTTAAAAGATAAATGGGAGTTCCCCCGGAAGTCCGGGAGGGAAGGAGCTAGTTTTCCAAGCTATGGAAACAGGGTATGCCAAGAACAACATAGCGCCTTCAGGAAATGTCTTGTATTTCATCCTTGTTAGAGGCTTAGAGCTCATCCTGCATCCCTGAGTGTAGGGAAAAATAAGCTACAAAAGGCTGGCAACAAGCAGGGCATGGTGGCTCAGCAACTTGGGCAGCTGAGACTGGAGGATGGCTTAAGCATAGAAGTTCCAGGTCAGCCCGGGTAACAAAGGGAGACCCTGCCTCTAAAGCAAAAACAAAGTAGAAGAAGGAAAAAGAAAAGTGGGAGCTGGAGGTGGGGTGATGCTGGGGATATAACAGTCGTAAAGCGCTTGTTTAGCTTATGTGAGGCCCTGGATTCAATCCCCAGAAGGAGAGGGCAGACACAACTAACCTCCCTTCCCAAACCTGACATGGCCAGACCTTGGAAGGTCTTAGAATTTTGGACTACTGAGCCTAGCCTTCGTTTTGCTTAAAATCCATTAATAGAGCTATTAATGGATTTTAAGCAAGTAGATGACTGTTTTATAACCTCCGCTCCAGGAACTCTTCCACACAACTCTTAAGAAAAAGACAAAATGCTGGAAAAAAAAGAGGGGAAAGTTTTTCAAAGAAGTAGTACTCTATTCCTAAGAGATTAAAGAAGATGAAGCCTGAAAAAAATGTCTTTTCTTTTCTTTCTTTCTTTCTTTTTTTTTTCTTGTGGAGCTGGGGATTTAACCCAGTGCCTTGTGCATGCAAGGTAAGCACTCTACCAATTGAGCTATATCTCCAGCCCTGAAGAAATGTCTTGAATTTAGTAACAGAGATCATTAGCAATCTTAATGTCACTGTTTAGGGGAATGATGGGGCTGAAATATAGATTGCAGTAGTTCAGAGAAATGCAGAAATGAGGACAAGTTGTACAATGCTTTTGGAAACTTTCGCCTTGCCAAGAGGAGGGAGAGAGTATAATAAAGGGTCAAGGTTTTCATTTGTTTTTGCTGTTGGGTTTTATGTTAAAATTAATACAAGAGAAACTTGAGCTTGATAGAGAAGATCTATCTGAGAAAAAGTTGATTGAAAGAAAGAAAGAAGCTAAAGATTTTGAGAGGTAAGGGTAGAGGCAGTTTGCTAAGCATTGGTGGCATACATCTGTAATACCTGCTACTCTGGAGGCTGAGACAGGAAGATCACAAGTTTGAGGCCAGACTCAGTGGCTTAACAAAAGATTCTGTCTCAAAAAAAAAAAAAAAAAAAAAAAAAAACAAAACTAACAACCAAACATGAGGGCTCATCCTATACTCCCAGTGACTTGAGAGGCTGAGACAGGAGGATCACAAGTTTGAGATCAGTCTCAGCAATTTAGCCAGACCCTAAACAACTTAGTAAGACCCTGTCTCAAATTAAAAATAAAAAGGGCTGGGGATATGGCTCAGTGGTAAAATAATCCTGGGTTCAATCCTCAGTACCAAAAATTAAAAATAAAAGGGCTGGAGATGTAACTCAGTGGTACAGCACCACCACCATCACTACCAACAACAACAACAAAAAGAGAGGGGTGGGGAGGGAGGCAATTCAAAGCACTGGTGGGAGGAATAGTCTTAGAAAGGGAGAGAGAAAGGAAATAACCTCAATTATAATGAAAGGAAGTATTTGTATGTTTAATAACAGTAATTAAATAAGTTTTCATTTGAGGACTTATTTTCTTTGTAAAGTAGGAGACAAAGTCATCTGCTGACAAAAAGGGAAGTAGTATTGGGAGTTTCAAGGAAGTTGAGAAGCTTTGGAAAAGTAGTAAGGATTAATAAGCAGTGTAGAGGGACTTTTTGAGGTGGTTAGAAATGAACTCACCAGTTTCTGTTCTCTGTAGCTTTCCAAAACAGTAATCACTTTGAGGGCAGAGGTGAAGGAAATATATGACTGAGTTCGCTGAGGATTGAGATGGTCATGGATATAATATCATGATTCTCAGTCAGGGACAGTTTTGTCTTCCAGTGGACATTTGTCAAAGTCTGGAGATGTTTTTTTAATTATTTTGACGATGAAGAATGGTAGAGTATTACTAGCATGTAGTGTCCAAGATGCTAAACATCTTATAATACATATGATAGCCCTTAACATCAAAGAATTATCAAAATGTTAAAATTCTTTTTTTCCTTCTTTTCTTTATATATTATATATATATATATATATATATATATATATATATATATATATATATTATATACACATATATTTGCAGTACTGGGATTGAAACCAGAAGCACTCTACCACTGAGCTACATTGTCAGCATTATTATTATTATTATTACTACTATTACTATTTTGGTATTGGGAATTGGACCAAGGGGAGCTTAATCACTAGCCATATTCCCCAGACCTTTTTTATTTTTTGGGAACAGCATCTCAATAAATTGCCCAGATTGGCCTCAAACTTGTGATCCTCCTGCCCCAGTCTCACAAGTCTCTGGAATTACAAATATGCATCACCCTGACTGGCTCTAAAATATCAATATTCTAAAGGTTGAGAAATCCTGATCTAGAATTACCTTGATGTTCACCAATATCTGACCATATTCGACTTTGACTATGGTCCTCAGCTTATAGGGTAAAGAGGTTCTTCCTTGGCATGACTTTAAAGGAGTAGAATTAGCAGCATACTACAGACCTTCAATATCTCAAAGATTTGTGATGTCACAAATACAGAATTGGGAGTTTCCTGAACCTCTAGAAGCAAATCTGGATTTATACATAGATTAAGGTAGCTGCTTATATTGATTTGGGGCATTAAAGGTCTACTTAAGTAGAGATGTTATTTTAATTTCAATCATACAGGAGTAGCAACATTTCACATTATTATCAACCTTAATGTAACTTTTTTTTTTTTTTTCTCACTAGTCTTGGCCACTAATACAGAATTCCCAGGTAATGAGTATGGGCTAAGTTTAATAATAAAAAAATACTTTAGGCACAAATAAGGAGGGAATGTATGCTGTTTAATAGGCAACGGTCATAGATAAGTACTTGACCTCTGCTATTTCATTTCGTTTTAGCAACACCCTGTGAGATATTAAACCTAATTTTAACTTAGAAAATTGAAGTTCCAAGAAAATTTGCGATTTGACCAACGTCACAAATAAGCTGAGATTTGAACTTGGGTCTATCTGTACTAAGGCTCTAGTACCTTCCTTTGAACTTCAATAAGTTTCACAAATAATGAGTGATTTGGAAATTGAGCCCAAACAGTTGTCACTACCTATGGTGGGGGGACTTGGAAAGAAACTAGAGGCCCAGAAAGAGCAAGGAGAATGAAAAAGGCTCAGAAAGGTTGGTGCAGCGGACTGCCTTTGTTCTTCCGTTCTTTTTGAGTAAAGCCTCTTCCCCTGTGTCCGTTGTTCACTCTCTTGTGTACAAATAAAGCTCGATTGTTGAGAAAGGCGATGGGGGATGGGGGACAGGGGGAAGAGCGCGACGACGGCGAGGTGCGCCTGCGCGCTGGTGGCGGCGGCGGAGGCGGAGGCGGAGGCAGTGGCGGAGCCCGGCAGGGAGCGGGTCCGGAGCGGGCCACCGGACCCGAAGCCGAGGGGGGCGTCGGGGAGCTCCCTTGCCGGGCCTTTGGCGGCCTGATGGAGTAAGAGGGGTTGGCTGTGAACGTGAGTATCCAGGGGCCGACCTACGTTGAGGATTTCGGAGCCCGAGGGGTCGTAGTGGTCTCTCTCTTAGGGGGGTTGTGGGGCTGCATGACGCGCCAGGGTCTCTGCTCCTGCAGGTTGTGGCTCAAGGCAACCCACTTTCCCGGAGCCTGCGCGCGTTTACTGGCAGGCGGTGATTCTGGCTTGAGGATATGTATTCTCGCGGGGGCGTTCCGACTCTGTTCTCAGCCGCAAAGGAAACGTGGCTCCAAAACCTTGACCTTTTATGGAGGCCGCCAACCTCTTTTGGTCTCTGGGGAGGGGCCCCTAGACCCTGGTGCTCAAAGATTTGCGGATCTCAGGCCAGGGGCTCCTGTGGCCTCTTGTGACTCGCTTCTTTTTCCTCCTTTGGTCGTCTCCTTGTGGGATGTGTCTTAATAATAGCAACTAACTATGGAGCGCTTAGTATGTGTCTGTTTAATATTTAGTACGATCTCGGTGCATAATTATGGAAAGGAAATGCTTTGCACCTCCCTCCTCAATTTGTTTGATTTAGTCATCTCTGAGAGTAAGATTAAGCCATTTTGTTGGGAAGTTTACTTCCGTGGCTTCAATCAACTTGGGACTGCCATCATAAATAAGGAAGCTTTACTCTTACCCTCCTACCTTAGTCTTCCAAGTAGAGTAGCTGGAAATAAAGTTGTGCACCCCCACGACAGGCCACAAATAATTTTTTAGTATTAAGAGCTTAATACCATTCTAAATCCCAGGAAATCTTTTATTATTGTTGTTGTCAATGGATCTTTATTTTATTTATTTATATGTGGTGCTGAGAATTGAACCAGTGCCTCACACATGCTAGGCAAGTTCTCTACCACTGAGCCACAACCTCAGCCCAGTCCCTGGGAAAT